ACTTCAGAGTTCCCTTTTCATACCTCAGAATCCTGACAGCAGCTTGGTAATGAGACCACTTTGGTTTACTCGTAAATCTGCTGACTATTCCAATTGCATAGCAAATATCAGGTCTGGTATTACACAAATACCTCAGAGAACCAACCATTTGTTTGAAGGTTGTAGCATCCACATCCTCTCCATCAGAACCAGAGTCAAACTTCTGATTCGTATCAGCAGGTGTGATAGCAATTTTGTAATTCTCTAGCTCAAATATCTTCAGAAGCTCAAGTTCATACTTCATCTGATGCAAAATGATTCCTTTCTTAGAGTACATAAATTTCATCCCTAGAAAGAAATTCATTTTCCCAAGATCTGTCATCTCAAACGCATTCATCAGAACTTTCTTGAACTCAACTATCTCTTGTTCAGAACTTCCTGTAAGTAATATGTCATCAACATATAAACAGACCATAATCATATTACATTATGAAGTGTGCTGAACATAAACACCATACTACATCTCACACTTTTGAAACCCTTGTTCCTTGAAAAACGAATCAATCTTCAAATTTCAAGCTCTGGGCGCTTGCTTCAATCCATACAAGGCTTTGTGTAATTTGAACATCATCCCTTCCTGATTCTTTTTCTCAAATCCAGGAGATTGTGATACATATACCTCTTCTTGTAATGGACCATTCAGAAATGCAGATTTTACATCTAAATGCATCAGAGACCAATTCCTGTTAGCAGCTATTGCAATCACTAGTCTGATTGTTTCATGTCTCGCTACAGGTGCAAACACTTCAAAGTAATTCAGCCCAGGCTTCTGTAGAAAGCCTCTTGCGACTAATATTGCTTTGTGTTTGCCAATTGATCCATCTGGCTTTAGCTTTTGTTTGAAAACTCATCTGACACTGATGGCTTTCTTGCCTTTTGGAAGTTCTGTCAGCTTCCAAGTCTTGTTTCTCTTTATAGCATCAAGTTCTTCTTTCATGACCTGTAACCAAACTTGTTGCTGAAGAGCCTCTTCCGTACTCACGGGTTCAGAGTCTACTAACATTGCATACTGAATAACTTCTCCTTCAGAGTCTACTTCAGTGTCTTGCGACATGTCAAACTCTGCGAATCTTCTTGGGATGCTTCTGACTCTTTGTTGCCTCTGAACTGGACCTTCAAAACTTTGGACACCAAAACTTTCCCCTTCAGAAGCACTTGCTTCAGAAATTGGACTTTCTCTAGAACCGTGAATGTCTTCAGAGTCTGGATCACCATCGGAGTCAGAGTCAGAATCATCTTCTCCTTTTGTATCTTCTTCAGAGTCAGAGTCTTTACTAGCTTCAGAAACATGTGTTTTTGACTTTTCTTCAGGAGTTCTCTCATCAGAGTCAGGACGAGACCTTTCCCAATTCCAAACTTCTGATTCTTTTACAATGACGTCTCTGCTGAACTCAACTTTGTTAGTTTCTGGACAATAAAGTTTGTACGAACATGTACTGTGGTACCCCACCAGTAACATTACTTTACTTCTATCATCCAACTTCTGTCTTCTGGCTTTTGGAATATGTTTGTAACATACAGAACCAAACACCTTCAGATGACTAACACTTTGCTTATCTCCAGTCCACTTCTGAATAAGAACTATTTCCTTCAATTTCTTCGTTGGAGATCTGTTGAGCACATAACATGCAGTGGCAACAGCTTCTCCCCAGAGTATGAGGAAGCTTCTTCTCTTTCAGCATGCTTCTCATCATATCAAACAAAGTACGGTTTCTTCTTTCAGCAAGACCATTGTGTTGAGGAGTATAGGGAGCAGTAACCTCATGCTCAATTTCATTTTTCTCACAGAACCTTCTGAATTCTGTGGAGTTATACTCACCACCACCATCAGTTCTAAGAATCTTCAGTGTCTGGCCACTCTGATTCTCAACCTTCAGTCTGAACTTCTTGAATTCAGCAAACACCTCGTGTTTGAACTTTATGAGAGATACCCATGTCATTCTGGTGAACTCATCAACAAATGACACGATATTTATTCTCTCCAGTTGATGCTACTGGAAAAGGACCGCACACATTAGAATGCACTACTCCCAAGGCATGCTTTGCTCTTGGAGCTACTTCTGATGCAAATGGTAATCTTGGTTGCTTCCCTTCCATGCACACCTTGCATGACTTTTCAGGCTTCTTGATTGTAGGAATTCCATTATCAGATTCTTTGATTTCAGATGTCCTAAACTTCTGAAATTCAGATGACCAAATCTTCTGCGCCACAGCTCACTCTCCTTGACAACACTTGTTGCACTAAGACATTCAGAGTTTGCAGTTCTAACATTCACCTTGAATGTTCTGTTCCTTCCCTGTTCTGACTCCATAATCAGCTTCTGATTACAGTCATACAGCTTCAGAAGATTGTCCTTTATGATAACCGAAAAATCTTTCTCAACCAGTTGTCTCACACTCATCAGATTGCTTTTCATGACAGGTACATTCCATACATTCTGGATCACTGCTGCTTTCCCATTGTTTAGAATGATTCTGACATTTCCGATACCTTCTGCATTGAGGTATTTATCATCAACACATTTGATCTTTGTACTCTTCTCAGAGTCAAAATCAACCAACCATTTATTGTTTCCAGTAAGATGGTTTGAACACCCTGTGTCCATATACCACCATTCTAATGAATTCAGATCATCGGGTTCAAAAGCCAACAATAGCACAGGTTCATCATCTGACTCTCCTCTGATTATATTTGCTTCTTCTGACTTCCTTTCTTTGTTTGACCAGCAATCTTTGGCATAGTGACCGAAGTTCTTGCAACAGTAACACTGAACATTCTTCTTGTCAGATTTCTCCTTTCCCTTCTGGACATTCTTCTGCCTATCAGAGTTTGAAGCTTCTGACCTTTGACCACCCTTAGTTTTCTTCCTGGCTTCTGACCAAGTCTGCTTCTGATACTTCTTACCAGAAGTTACTTTCAGAGCCTGCTGATTTACTTTCCTCTCAGAAGTTCTCGCAGTCATATGCAACTCATGCGCCTCTAGACTACTTTGCAGCTCTTCAACTCTCATGGTGCTTAGATCTTTGAAATGTTCAATTGCTACCACAATGTAATCAAACTGAGAAGTTAAAGATCTCAAGATCTTCTCAATGATTATTTGTTCATAAAGAGTTTCTCCACAAGCTTTCATCTCATTAGTGATCAGAATCACTCTAAAGATGTACTCAGAAACCTTCTCGTTGTCCTTCATGTTGAGATTCTCATATTGCTTTCTGAGAGACTGAAAATTCACCTTCTTTACTAATGCGTCACCACCGTAACATCTGACCATTGTGTCCCACGCAGCCTTTGCTGTTTCAGAATCAGCAATCTTCTCAAACACATTTGCATCCACACATTGATGGATGTAGAACAACGCCTTCTAATCTTTCTTCCTTAACGCCTTCTGTGTTATCTTTTGTGCCTCTGTTGCGTCTGCTTCTAACAGATCATAGTCATCGGTGACAAGATCTAACACATCTTGAGAACCAAATAACACGCGCATCTGGATCTTCTAACGATTCCAGTTTTTGCCATCAAATACTGGAAGTTTGGAATGGAAATCGCCTCCGTTTCCGTTCATCTTATACCTTGTGCAATTTACGGAGAAACTCAATAAAGCAGTATTTCCCAAATCCCCAGAATCAGAAACGACGATTATCATACAACACCTCACTGTTCTCTCGTGTTTTCCTTTTTCTCCGTGGATTTCGAACCGGAGCTCTAGATATCAATTGTTGGTGCACAAAGAAAAGATGAAAGGCAAAAAAAATATATTAAATGACGGCTACAAAAATAAGGAATAATGATTTACAATGAATTATATTGAACTACCTCATTAGGCTATTTATACACAAAATAAAATCCTAAATATCCTCTAACAAAGATATAAAAAGATATAATAATATCCTCTAAAAAGATATTCCTAAAATATAGGTTAATATCCAAAATATATTCCTAAAATATAGATTAAATCTAACAGAGGGATGAGCTTGTCCGAGAGGATTGGTTGGAGGGTGATGTGCATGATGTGAAGTGACAATGCAAAAGAACATTTTTCTACACCATTCAACTCCTTCATAGCTTCTCGTGGTATCATACCTCAGTTTAATTGCCCACAAACACCGCAAAAAAATTGGTGATGCTGATAGGAAACATCATCATTTGGTTGATACAACTTGAACTTTATTGATGAATGCTGATTCACCTTTTAAATTTCAGGGTGATGTTATGCTCACTGCCTGTGATTTGATAAATTGCTTGTCATCCTTAGTACTGGCATTGGGTAGTGAGATTCCACACTGTTATCATCCTTGTATTTTGTCCCTGTTCGTGTGTTCAGCTCTATGTGCTTTATTGATATCTCTCCTAGTCGCCCAAAATTGTTTGCATGAGTTGCCAAATGTGTGTTTTTGAACTATGTTATTCTCCACCTATACACCATTTTTATGTTTCTGCTTATGTTATTTTCTTTGAGGATACACCATTCTTTGCTTCACCCAATACATCTCAGGTGATACCTATTCCTTTATTTGAGCCATCATCTGTTTCTACTCACATTGTCAAGAGTCAGCCACTATGGTATTACTTATAACAATTCACACGCTCAAGCTCCAAAAACAACTCATGTTGATTCACTCCAAAGATTGCTACTACTGGTTCAAGTGATTCAGCTAGTGATTGGATATCAAGAATGTTTTTCCCAGCCGTGTAACCACAAGTCAACCTTTTCAATAGAATGAATACAGTGAATATTAGCACCAAAACATCATAATCAACTTGTGGAGTGAGTTAAAGTAGCAAGTGTACAATAAACATCAGTTGTATATTTATCTGTAGTGAGTGATTCTTCCAAACTGGATTGTTTTTAGAGCTTAGAGAGACTTTCTAAGAAAGAGTACTTGCTGAGGTTTAACCTATACAAGTTTTAAAAAGATATTGTTTGATGTTTTTAGCTTACTCTTGTGTTCCATGTTTTTAGCTTCAGAGAACCCGTAGACGGTTGGAACTGCTTCTGGAGGATTGTCCAGGTGAATTTGATCCTTCTCAATACTATGAAACAACAGAGCAGCTTTTGGAACCTCTGCTCCTCTGTTATGAATCTATGGTACTTTTTCTCCTGCTCCTACTGTCTTTCACACGATGGTGCTTTTCCATAATATGATTGTTTAGCTCTTGATTTCCTCTAGCAATCTTGTGGATCTGGTGTGTTAGCTGATGGTCGACTTGCTGATCTGATCCGTAGAGTTGCTACCTTTGGCATTGTGTTAATGAAGCTTGACTTGCGTCAGGTATGATTTAATGTGTTTTGTTCATAATTGGTGTACTGTGGCCTGAAACTGGCAGTGTGACAGGAATCTGGAAGACATGCTGATACACTTGATGCAATTACAAAGTATTTGGATATGGGTACATACAGTGAATGGGATGAAGAAAAAAAATTGGATTTCTTAACAAGAGAACTTAAAGGGAAGAGGCCACTAGTTCCTACTAGTATAGAGGTGAGAGGGGCAGAATGTAATGTAGACTCATAACCAAGTTTTAAAACTTGGGCAATCATCTATTATCTAGTATGTTGGCAAAAACAGGATTTACTGCATGCTCTTGACATAATATAAAAAGTTGTTCCTCTATTCTATGTCACTGACCTTGTACTTTTTATTGGCATTTTAATTAATTCTTTTTAGGTTGCTCCAGATGTTAAAGAAGTCCTTGATACTTTTCGAATTGCTGCCGAGCTAGGGAGTGATTCACTTGGAGCCTATGTGATCTCTATGGCTTCTAATGTACATCAACTGCTATTACTCTTACAGATTATCCATGGGAAACAGTTTGTACAACATGCATTGCCTTTTGAAATTTAGTAATTTCTTGAGGATTTGTAAACTTATCACTGCCTTCCTTTTTCCTTCATCTTTTTATTTTCTTGTTTGGTTTTGCATGAAAATATTTATTTTTGCTGCATAAACTTTGCAACTGAATTTAGGTACTTAATATCATTTTGTATCGTAAATCTATAATGGTATAATAGTGAAAGAAAGCATCTTGGAATACAGTGATGTTCCAAAATTGTTGATACTAAAGATTTTGAACTTTGGTTTATTTGTCAGGCAAGTGATGTCCTTACAGTAGAGCTCTTACAGAAGGATGCTCGTCTTACAGTTAGTGGGAAATTAGGAAGTGCATGTCCAGGTGGAACGTAAGTCCATCTTGAGATATTTGTGTTACTATACTGGAACTTATCAAAGTTATCTTTATGCTTATCAGATCACTAGGGTGGATGAGATGAAAATTTGCAATTTTAAATTGTATCTTGAATAGTATATTACTTATCAATAAAGAAACTGGAATAAATTTGAGTCATGCATATTACCTGTTACCTTTATACGTATTTTACTTATATTCATACATAGTCTTCAGATTTTGGATCAAAGTTATGTGCCTCTCTCACTTTCAACAAGTTTAAGGTCAGTTTTCATGTTAGTGTTTGGAAATTGAGTAGCATGGCATATCATAGCACGACTTTCGTGATCTTATGAAATAAGATTAGAAAAATACAATTAGTTGCATTGTTTCTTATGTAGCTAGAAGTCCCTATTTAGGGTGCCTGGAGAAAAAATATTTCATGATTTCTGTTAAGATCCCGAAATTCCGAAACAGAAATTAATAATGAGAAATAGATTATCGACGGAAAACAAAGAAAACTTTTGAAGGAAAATAATTCCAATATACCTAAGAGTTAAGCTCCTAAGAGAAATAACTCTCTCTGCCTAACCATAATGCTTCTCTCAATAAACTTGGATAAATAACACAATCCACCCACCTTACTAAGACATAACAAACTTGCCAACTAAGTATCCTACTCCATATATTTTTACCACACTCATTATTACATAATTCTCCTTTTTCCTTATAACCTCTACTCGGGTGTCTATCAATTTCTCTATGACAAGTTAGCTCAAATACTTTGGACGAATTGTGTAAAGATTCTCCTCTATACTCCAAAGAATATTGCAAAATGTTTGAATTTAATATCAGACGTACATGTGTCCAATACAGGCTTCGGGTGGTTCCTCTATTTGAAACTGTGAAGGACCTAAGAGGAGCTGGTTCAGTTATCAGGAAACTTCTATCTATAGATTGGTACCGCCAGCACATTATTAAAAACCATAATGGACACCAAGAGGTTATTTGTAATAATGGCATATGTGACTTCATTTATGTTCTAATATTATGGGGAATCATGTGGTAATATTATAAATGCCTATATGCAGGTTATGGTTGGGTATTCTGATTCTGGTAAAGATGCTGGTCGATTTACTGCTGCTTGGGAACTTTACAAAGCTCAAGAGGATGTAGTGGCTGCTTGCAATGAATACGGTATTAAGGTTACGCTGTTTCATGGCCGCGGAGGGAGTATTGGTCGTGGCGGAGGCCCAACATATATGGCTATTCAGTCCCAGCCACCTGGCTCAGTGATGGTGGGTTATGCATCTTTAGCCTTAATTATTGCCCAAGCCTAAAAGGATGAGTTTAAGTCCCATATTCCGTATTTTTTTACATATAAAAGATGTCTGAAATGCATAGTATTAATCTATGTTTCTGTTAGTATTTTGGAGTATGGCTAGAGTCTAGAATAACACTCGTAAGGGGCTGCTAGAGTGTTGTTTTATTAAAGATGGTCATAGGGAAGTGGAATAACATTTGAACTATTGAACTGCCGATAGGGTAATGGTTAGCGTACATTCGTTTTTTTAGTTTCCTTTATTTAGACTGTTGAGGTGTTTGGCGTTCACGTGTCTGAGACCGTGAAGTTAGATTGGATATTGGTTAAAACACTGTAAGACAAGGAATGCTTTATATTAAAAGAACGCCATAAATTGGTTAATATAATTGATGCCAAAGTTATATGGTTGATTAACATGAACCAGATTATAGATCATTTTTCCATAGAGCCTGGAAAATATTGTTGTTTTTCATAAGCTGTTATCAGCATTGACATTGAAAACCAAAATAAATGATGCTCCTGTGACATTGCAGGGAACACTTCGGTCAACTGAACAGGGAGAGATGGTGCAGGCCAAGTTTGGGTTGCCACAGACAGCTGTTAGACAACTTGAAATATACACGACAGCTGTGCTACTTGCTACCCTTCGTCCACCTCTGCCACCCCGAGAAGAAAAATGGCGTAATCTGATGGAAGACATATCAAAAATCAGTTGCCAGAGTTACCGCAGTGTAGTGTATGAAAATCCAGAATTCTTGAGCTACTTCAACGAGGCAACTCCTCAAGCAGAGCTTGGGTTCCTGAACATAGGTAGCCGGCCGACGAGGAGAAAGGCGACTACAGGAATTGGACACCTTCGTGCAATTCCATGGATATTTGCATGGACACAAACGAGATTTGTTCTTCCTGCTTGGCTTGGAGTTGGAGCAGGTTTGAAAGGTGCTTGTGAGAAAGGACTAACTGAAGAGCTAAAAGTAATGTACAAAGAGTGGAATTTCTTTCAAAGCATAATAGACCTGATTGAGATGGTATTGGGAAAAGCAGATATTTCTATTGCTAAGCACTATGATGAAGTTCTTGTGTCAGAGGAGAGACAAGAACTTGGTCGTGAACTAAGGAAAGAGCTGATTACAACAGGGAAGTTTGTGAGTGTTATTAGTGGGCATGACAAACTTCTGCAGAATAACAGAACATTGAAGAGGTTGATTGAAAATAGACTTCCTTTTCTTAATCCCATGAACATGTTGCAGGTGGAGATACTTAAAAGGTTAAGACGTGATGATGATAACCTTAAAGCAAGAGATGTTCTCCTTATCACCATTAATGGTATTGCTGCAGGGATGAGGAACACCGGCTAACTTGTCACCAACTATATCATTTTCACCTCTGGGTTTCTGTTATCAAGCATGCTATTCATATACTCTGGACAAGATGAATCCAACTATAGTGTCAAATTTTATTTCCTTTTATCTTATTTGATTCCACAAATGTGTGAATAATAATGCAAATCCAGGTGATATCCTGCCTATTTCATTTTCTGAATGATTGAATTCTAAAATTTCCATAATATCTAAAATTCTGAATGAGTCTAAAATAGGTAACTTGTTCTTTATATGTGCTTTCCATGTCTAAATCTCTTTTAAACTTTATTTACCGGAACAATAGGTTAGGGCTATCGATAGGATAAATCACTGAATTCTTTTTTTATTTTGAAAACTTGTGCAATTGGATTTCTTGTTTGATCTTCTTTCTCTTTCTTATTTTGGAAACTGTTTTGTCTTATTTTAACATACTACTGCCAACAATTTTTAATAAAATTTGAATCTTTAACTACAGTTGATAGTTACTAAATATAATTATGTATCGTAATTTATTCATATGATTTTAAACATCACTAAACACACTTTTCAAGCGTGTATTTGAACACAAATACTAGTGGTTAACAAACTGTGTTTAGTTTACCACTTGAAAATCTTGTACATTTGAACTCAATTTAAATGTTTAATAGATAGCATATATGTTTTAGCACTTGAAAATTGTAGTTAATATCATTTAGAATTCTGAGTAATCAATCATGTTCAGCGAATTGCAAGTTTCTTATATTCATTAATATCTAATTACATATTTAAACTACATTATTCTGATGTTTTTAGCTGATTAAACTACATTAATCACAGAGGTTAGGTTGTTGTTTATATCTATTATAAATCTATAAAAATGATAGTCCCTGGAAATTACCACAACACCACAGCTGAAAATATTCATTGTTGGTCTATTGTATTGGGGTAAAATTGGAAACTCCAAAATATCTTGCACCACATTGATTTGAATCTGATGTGGCACTCCCACAATTTTTCACCACATTTTCAAATTTTTTTTTTCAAATAAATCCCACATATTATACTGTTTTTTAAAATAAAGAACCAATTCAATTTATTGTGCAGGCAGCGTGAGAAACCCAACCATGGGAAATACCAATTCATTATTCCTTGCCATTCATTGTGCCTCTCTTCCTCTTCCCCATGCCAAACCATTATGCCTCTCTTAATCAGAATTCAAATTCAAATGGAACACCAAAAGTTTTTCACTCTTCCTTCAATCCTTCCCCAATGTGTACTTATGTATAACCTCCATTGCTTAACACCTTCCAGTCGTTTTCATTCACGCAAGCCATTGCTACAGACGTCCCTTTCGTTTTCATTCACGCAAGGCTCTCTGCGCTGTTACGAATCGTTGCGTGACGATGGCGCGCCCAATCGAGTATATCAGTAGCATTGACGATTCGAAGGATTTGTGGAAGGTTGCTGTTAGATGTAAGCATCTGTGGTCTGTTACCAGTTCTCAGAATAGAGAGCACTTAGAGCTTATTCTGTTTGATTCAAAGGTATAATACAATCTAAACGTTTCTGCTTTGCCATTCTGATTTTGTTGTAACAGTACTGGTATATGATACTGATTTCAAGATGTTTGTATTTTCACAGTTGGATTTGATTCAAGCCATTGTGTCATCTTATTTGGTATCAAAATTCAAAACACAGCTTGAACTTGGTTGTTCCTACATAATGCAGAATTTCAAATTTTCCAGCAATGATTTCTCCTTCAAATCCACTGATCATAAGCTCAAATTGATTTTCTGTGGTTCAACTTCCGTCAAAAAGGTCCAACTTGCTGACATACCTCTGAACCACCTCAAGTTAATTAGAATAAATGCTATTATTGAGGGTAAATACATAACGAATTTGTTATATGGTGAGTTACATTTTTACTGTTATAATAGAACGCATTGTATTGTGACTTCTCCGTTATACATAACTGTCTGTGGTGAACTTTTGTGCAGATATAATTGGTGGGGTTACTGAAATATCCCAAGCCCAGATAATTCCTGATAATAACAAAAGCAAGGTTGTGTTTTCATTAACTGATCTGAGGTAGGTGTTTCATTTTGTTTGTTAACATTGATGCTGATAAATATAAAAGTCTAACATGTTCATGTTGTTTGTTTTGTAATTCCTGTCAATCAGCAAACATCATGTGCAATGTACTCTTTGGGGTAAATTAGCTGTGCAACTGAATGAGTATTATACGACTCATAAGGCTGATGGTAGTATTGTTCTCCTACTTATGAATGCAAGGATCAAGTAACCTCAAGGTATGCTATGTGACTATTTCTTATTATATCCAATTATTATATCCAACTTTAAGTGTTGTCATTTATAAATATCTCAATTTTCAGGAAATTATCCTTTAAATGTATCAAATGCTTAGAACGGCACAAAACTGCTCATCAATGATTTGTCTATTGAGGAAGTTAAAAACCTTAAAGAGAAGTAAGTGATTTTATTATGAAGTTATGAATTAGCAACCTATGATTACTAACAACCTGTTTTCATTCTGATCTATGTACATCAGACTTAAAGATGATCTGCCGACGCTCTCATCCTCGAGCATGCAAATGGAAACCACAAATACCTCTGTTTTTTCTGATTTGGACAAATTTGTATGGAAAGCTGAAGTGTTGAGTCTGTCTGATATTGCATATCTGCAGACTGTAAGTTGCTCTTTAATACATGACTGTCTTAGATTGAGGAATTACACAGACTGGGTTCTAATCTATTTTTTGAGACATCATCCCATCTTTCTGTTTCAGGAAAATACATGTGTGACTGTTGCGACTCTGGAGAAGTTTGAATATGGGCAGTCAGGATGGTATTATGATGGATGTAGTGAATGTACCAAAAGTGTGACTTTGAAGGATGGAAAATTCATGTGTTATTCCAAACACATCAGTTCTGAGCCAGTCCCAAGGTAACTTCTAAGTATTGCATATCAATGATTATCATCATATAACCAAACGCTTCATTACTGACAATTTCTTATTTTGATCACGCATGGTACAGATTTAAGCTTGAAGTGCTTGCCTCCGATGGAAAGTTAAAATACAAGTTCGTATTTTGGGATGTAGATTGTGTAAAGTTGATTGGGAAGTCCGCCCTTCAGATGAAGTTGGATTTGATGGAGGTATTTTCCATTTGGCTAATATGTAAGTTAGATAATTACCACATAAATAACATATATTGTTTTAATCATTTAGACTGGAGATTTTGATCCCCTTGAATTCCCTTATGAACTTGATGTGATGCTGAAGAAGGAGTTGGCTATAAGAGCAGTGTTTCAACCAAACAAGGCCAGTCTTTCTGTAATCAGATTTAAGGCAGATGAAGTGCTACGTACCAAAATAAAGGAGAGGTTTAAATGTGAAGAGGTACTGCTGTACTCATGTTTTACTGTTGTTAAAATCAGTATCATGTGCATTGGATTTTTTTAACAATTGTTTAAAACTTGCAGCACACTTCAAAGATTGTCGTCTCAACAGATGACACTCGGGATGATATGCATACAGCATCGGTATGTTTTAAATAGGAACGACCTATTACTCTTGCCATCACATTTTGAACAATTGTCTAACGTTTATTTCTTGCGCTTTTTAACTTGCAGTGTACTCCGACCATCACCACCTCGGAAAAACAGTCTCATGATGATCCATCCACAAACAGTTTCAGTGCGTCTTTTTTTAGCTTTCAACATTAACAAATTAGCCTATTAAACAATGTCTTACTTCCTTTTTTATGCTACTGATTTTGTAATGACTCTTTAATGGCAGGATCCGTTATCAATCACTGCAGATTATGACCCTTCAGTTGCCAACTCTGCACTTACACCGTCAAAAAGATCTATTCCTGAGACAGTTGAAGAACTCGACAGTGCCCAACTATCATCCACCAAGATAATAAGGGACATCAAGCTGGAGAAATGATGCAGTCAATTATCGTCGACGATTTATTTTTACTTTAAGTTGTTTTGGACAACATTGCACACCTTATTTTGATTGATGTAATGAAATATTTCTGGTTTACATTTTGTTTATTCTGGTTTATGAGGATTTGATTTGTCATTCTTGCTTTTTGTTTGATCCTTTTGACATTGTATATGAAAGAATGATATGATTTTAGTCATTTAAGCTGCAAAAAACTATGTATAATTTACACTGCAAAAAGCAATATGATGTTGGTAATTCCTTATTTTGTTTAATATAATAAATTTATTTTGTTTTCTTTTGGAAAATCAGTGGCCAACTGTGTATGCAACGGAGTGTTTTTGGTTACCCCACACAACATCCTTTTCTTTTTTCATTTACATATTTGGAAACCTTTGAAAAACATTATCTCACCTAATGACGGAGTATTTGGAGTTACCTTATCACCACATCCTTTTCTTTTTTCATTTACATGTTTGGAAAACTTTGAAAAACATTATCACACCTAATGATTTGTTTTACCTTACACAATTGTTACATATTTTTTCTCCGTAATTCTAAACCATTAAAATATAATCCCACAATTTGCCATTTCAAAATTCTTTTTGATGACGGATGTATATTTGTTATGAATTGAACTTTGATATAACTTTAATGTTGTATTTAGTGGCGCTTTAAATTACACTGTCATCTAATCTGTTGAGTTGTTAACTTAGTGTCTTTGAAAGGAAAAAAAATGTTTCTCTTTATGTCTTGATGCTGGACAATCCATATTGTTTTGCATACTTTATGCATAATACACGGTAGTATATCAGCATACTGTACATTAATCTAAAAAACTAATACATGAATAACAGATTATGCATAGCAGAAATCCATGACACTTGATTAATATAAATTGTTACCGGATAATACCGGAAACGATATGCAATTATCTCATCAACGCAAGATATGGAACTAATTTCGTATCATCCCATTTAACAAATCATAAGCAGATTGTACATTGAGCCGTAGCCCAACAATATCAAATAACAAAACTAATAA